CATGGAATAGAGAGGAAAGGACGGTAGCTGTAGTGGGGCAGAGGAGGTGGGTCGAAAAGGCGGGAAGATATATCGTTAGGATAGGCAGACTAGGGAAGACATTTGTGAGCCACCTTTGGCAAAGTAGAAAGGAACGATTGGCCATCGGTGATCGGTCCTGTGGGAACAATGCTCCGTCCTCTCGAGGACGCGTGGTCAATGGTCTAACCGCTAAGGCATGCAAAACATAAGAGTACGCCCCGCCCCCCCCGCCCCCTTGCGCACGAGTCAACCAACAACCCACAAGAAAGTTTTGCCTCGCGTGCGCGAGGATCTCGACATCGATGTCGATCGCGGTGACGTGCTTCGCACCCAGCACCGCCGCCGCCGCCGCCAGCACCCCTGAACCTGTCCCGTAGTCCACCACCTCTTCCCCACCTGTGGAGCCGTCTCAGCAGTGACAGCAGCGGCAGTAGCAGCAGACAAGATATAGCCGTGCGGGGGAGGAGGAAGAGAGTGAGAGACCGTTGTGCACAGGTTTGATTTGGGAGAGGGAGGGAATCTACATTAGCTCGCATTCCGAAAAGGGAGGCGTGAGGTTCGTTCATTGAAGAAGCGAAGAAGGTGATCACGCTAGCGTTTGAAACGAAGCAGAGGTTCGTTGATAGTGAATTTGTGAAATAGCCAAGTGCACACATCAAGAGACCGGAATATTCATTTTGTCTCCTTATCCAAGAAGGAAAGATTTGCGGTCTTCTTCCTCGTCCATTTTTTCGCGAGCTTAGATCTGAGGTCAATGGTAGGTGTTAATTAGACTTTTCGAGCAAAGCTTGAAAGAAAAAGTGTAATCCCCCACCGCCAGCCATCCATCCACCTACCGTGGGTGACATAAGACATGACACCCCTTGGGGCCTGTTTTCAAAGCTCAACCACGAAGAGGATGAATACATCAAACGGCACCTTTTCGGGAAGCTCTCGACGAGACGGTTTCAACGCCGCTACTGGAAGTCTTTCTTGCTGTGGAGTACAGTTAGGGGTATTAAAGCGGCGGAATTTGGGGCCAAAAAAACGTCCGGTCCATTCGGCAAAATTTTGAGGGGGGCACGCGGATTTGGTTCTTTTTTTGGTTCTTGAGAATCCCGCTGTTAATACTGAATAAACTATACATGCAAGTCAATTTGTTTGTACAGGTAGCTCTGCATCCACACAGCAGCATGGCTCTTCATGCGTTACACACCCCTGGACACAGGTCCAATAGAGGTGACTGTAGGATTGGATTCTCTTGAAGTTAAAGGGCGGACGAACAACACCAAAAAAACATGGTTCTTTGGGCTCTTTGCTCCACGCCCAAGGCGACCTTTGCTCCTCTCGAAAAAGCGATCTTACAGCCCTCTACCTTGGCTTTACAGCTATACCACACAACAAACCGCATCCGAATTGCATCAGCCAACCACGAGATCTACTTGTCTGAAAACGGCCCCTCCAGTGTGGCTGCAGCGCCCACACCAGCAGACCGTCCTAAAAAAAAAAAATCGAGATCCGCGCCGTTCGGCAGCAGGAGGCGCGCTGCGCGAAAGCTGAATCAAAACAAAACGAAGTGTGAACAGAGGACGGGGCAGTGTATGGTTGCCGCGTCAGCAGAAGATAACACGCGGCGCGCTATCGAACGCGGCAGCCTCACCGTCGTAGAGAGAAGGCTGGAGGAAACGAAGGGGGAGTTGGTCAAAAGTAAGAAAATTGTGGAAGAGAGCCAGGTTCAACCTCGCTGCCGCCGCCGNGCTCCGACGGTTCCGTGCAATTTCATTGGTTGGTCGATTTTCCATCAGCAAGATCCGAGGACGCTTTTTCGAATTTTTTCCTATAGGAAACTTTCCGCTTTGGCACCCCTAACAGTACGCAATCAGGCTCAGTCCGGGGTGTGTGATGTCTTATGTCGCCTACGGTAAGGGTTCATAGCCTACTAACCTTCAACCGCGCTCTCGAGGAAATCGAGGCACATCCACGTGCTCGGGTGTTCCCCGTCGCCCCACCCCTGCCCCTCCAGCAGCTTGACGCTGCGGAGCCCCCTCGGGCTCGCGACCTGCTTTTCCCGCCGCTGCACGGCCGATATCTGGAGCCTCCGCATCGTGACGGTGTCGAACCCTTCCGACGACCGAGTGGCCTCCCACTGGTGGAAGCACTCCACCGGCCCTTCCTCCCAATCCAAGGAGCCTGCTCGTTCGCGCGCGTGTGTATTTTTTTTGTTTGTTTCGCACGGGAAGGAGGGGAAGATCGCGACGTGGGGTGGGCGGGTATGGGGCGTCAGGCAGGCCCCTTCCGTAATGCGGGCAACGGAGACGACGACGCTCGAGAATACACGAAAGGTCGTCTCGGCCTTGTAACTGCTGAGGACGATTCAGAGAGGCCGCAGGCATCGTAGAAGAAAAAGGGAATAAAACCCTCAGCCTCAGCCTCAGCCTCATCCTCAGCCTCAGCCTTGGGAAAAGGGTCAGGGGTACCCTCGTATCAGGCATAGTAGCCACAATCGCCTCTAGACGCCGCACGCACGGTGTTTACGGACTGCCGAAGCCAAGAACAAGAGGGAAGATCTGCGTTGCTCTTGCCACAGCCAGCCGCGATGCCGAGTGATTCTTTCAACAGACCATGCTACAGCAGACGAAGAAATGACACCCACACGCATCGCCCCAAGTAGAAGCAGGGGGCGATTGCAAAAAGCTAGTAGGAAAGAAAAGAGAGGGAATGTTCTTACCGAAGCAGTCGTCAGAACCGCCGGCAAGAGAACAAGCCGCCTCCAGCACGGCACCAACATCCCCTCCTCTTCCTTCCTCCAGGGCGAACGTCAGCATCGCTCCTCGGCCCCATTGCACCGCCTCCGCCTCCCCCGGCCCTTGATCTCGGTGGCCTTGTCTCTCTAACCCTTCGTCTTCTTCTTCTTCTCCGACGTATACCGAGCACCAGCAGGCCCCCATCTCGAAGAGCATGTCGCCGAGGGATCGCCACGGGACGTCGACCGCCGAGCCTTCGTAGCGCCACGCGGTCACCACCGTGTAAGGCTTCGGCAACAGCAGAAAAGAGACGCAAACGCCGCGAGGACATTTGTGCACGGGTGTGTTGGTAAGGCGGGGCCACCAATGTTTTTAGCGGTTACCATTGTAGTTTAGTATTAATAAGTTTCATGTAGGTTTATTTTTGGGTGAAGTATTATAAAAAATTGTAAAGTTCTAAAATTCGCGGGAGTAGGGGGCGGGGGGGCGGGGGATTCAGACTCGTTTGGGTTTGTCAAGCCGCACTTGTTGCGATGTGCTTAATTTCTGCCTGGGATCATGCCACTTTTCCAACCAGAAAGAAAAATATCCCTCCCTGGTAACACAAAAAGGGTACCTTCAACGTGGGGCCACCGTCCTCGTTTCGTTGAATGTCTTGTAGCCCGCCTGGATTAGCCAAAAGTGTGTCTGTGTGCCAAGCGTGCCTGCCCGGCGTCGGTCTGTTACGGCAGGGTATAAATACGAGTTTTCACCCCCCACCTGCGTGTCCACGGTGGAAGACAACACCTTTTGTGAAGAGCAACGGAGAGCCACAACGCCTCCGCCGTCACCTGTTCTTCTGCTGCGTATGGCTACCGCTGCACGTGGGCGGCCACAGCCATTGCCGCCGCTGCAAACGCCGCCGTCGCCGGCCCGCATGGAGCATGGACGTCGAAGCCGCCGCGGAGCGCGATTGTTGTTGCGCCAACCACAGCGATTTTCACACCGTCCTGCAGCTGACGCTAGCACCGGGGGCACGTCGCGTCGACACGCAAGAGGCGCGAGTCCTCCTCCTGCTGCTGCCGCTGCTGCTGCTGTCGCTGTTGGCGGCCGCGGTGGAAGGAAGTGGAAGGCACTAGCGCCGCCCGGTGACAGGAGCATCGCCACGTAGGCAGAAGCCTGTCATCGCAGAGCCGCGAAAAGGTTGTGTCGGTGATGATGATGTGTGGCAGTGTAGTGCTGCTGTAGGATTGGGCTTGCTTGTCACACGGCGGTGCATACAGTGGTCAAGAGAGGTGAGAAGGACAGAGGCCACCCCCGGCGGGGGCTGCTGGATCGAGTTCTTCGGTCCTTTGACTAAGGAAGTCCGCACATCAACATGGATCCGTGGGATAATCGTCCTGACCGCCGTTGTTTCACTTCATTGTGCTGCTGCTGCTGCAGGTCTTCGTCTGCTCCCAGTTAGTTAAGGCGACCGTGAATGTTGGAGCCCATGACATACACAAGCTGCCCGGCAGAACGGTATAATACCACAGGTCGACCACCTACAGCTGGATGTGGATGTAGATAGCGGCACACCGCGCGCTGGGGATTTGGCGTTCACTTCCAAATGCTCACTTCAGTCTAGACGTCCACCCACACGGTGACCGGTGATCTTAACCTTTGCAGCTAGACGTCCCATTGTACGCAGCATGTGCATGCATGTGCCTACTGCCTGTAGCAAATGCATGTAACAAACGAGGGTGTCAATATCATCATCATTCCGCCGCTGCCTGCACAACTGCACATAACTGCAACAGGGGCAAAGTGAAGCTGTATTCGCATGGGATTCTGCTCCTACCCCCCTGCTCGAGGGTGTATTGCTGTGTCGGTGTGAGAGGGCGTACGGCAGCAACCAATAACATGTACACCTTCAGATCTGAAGCAGCACGGCGAAGACGCTGAACTACTAGAAATACAGAAGGTGAGGTGCCTGTAGGAATACGGCGAAATGCCGCTCTTTTATCGCGTTTGTGTGCCCATGTACCTCCCATTAGGTGTAGCATCTGCAGTTGAGCAAGAGGGAGCAGGAGTCGTTTTTAGCTCGGTTGCTTGCTGCTTCTACATCTGCAGAAGTGCTGGTGATGTTCATGTTCCGCAACGAGGGACGAGCCTCGTATCTATGCCGTTGTGAGGTGCCTTTTGGACGACAACACAACAAGCCAAATCGATAACAAACAGCAAAACATGCTTAAATCTCACTTTGAAAGCCCCGGGTCGCTTGAAGTCGCCCATGGCAAGGTGCTTCCTGGCTTCTGGTTTGACTGCTCAGCTGCTTACGGCTGGCTGGCTCTGCGCGGCCTCGGAGGCGCCGTGGATCATGGAGTGTCGATTTGCATCGATTGTTTGGAGGCATTTTCCACGGTCCCGCTCTCGCTGCTTCGTCGCTCTCCAAGACTAAGCTGTCACGCAAGCCTCGCCCGTCCCAATCCCCCCTGTGCCGCTGCTCTCTCCTCTCCGCGATGCAATCAGGTGAGGTTTCGATCAGCAGCGCGCCCGCCAGCCTGCCTGTTGTTGTTTACTCCTTGTGGGAAAGCCCAGCAGCGTTTTTTTTTTTTGTCCTCCACCAATGTAGCCTGCAGCCGGGTCAAGGTTACAAGGTTACCACATGTTTGTGCCTGTCGTACTGCTCGTCCCATCGGTTGCATAGTTGCACACATGAGGGAAAGGCGACAGTTACATGGACTCCACTACCACCACGCAAGCATTCGTGTATATAGGAAAGAACAAGGACAGACAGCTCGTAGCACATCCTCTGCGCAAAGAAGTCAATAGGTAACGAAAATAGTTCTGCCGATTTCGACCTGTGTGCTTTTTGCCCAACACACCAAACAAAGGGTGAATGAATGAGTCTTGTACTTGACAGTAGGTTGGCCGATGTAAGTGGCACCCTGAATAGTGATTCGTCCGATAATGTGGCATTCAACTCTCTTGTCACAATCTCAACCTGACATGGTACCGATATAGTGGCACTTTGCCACTATTATATCGGACGGGGCCCTCAATAGTGGCATTTTCGGCATCTCACCTCCCCAATAGTGGCAATAAAGAAAACAAGAAGTACAAGTATATAATATCGCCCTCTCTGAAGAACATGGTATCTTCACCTCCCGCACCACACACACACAGTAGGCGCCGCACGTATCATGTCAGCATGCGCGGATCTAGAAGTGTAAACTCCCAAACAAACCAGAGAACGACGGGCACACATGTCGTGCTGGCTGCATGGCAGTGTTCGCAGCACCAGTTTGGCAGTTGGACATCGGAGCGTTTACCCAATCATGTTGGAAACAGTTGGTTGACGCCTATCGGTGCAAAGCGCTGTGATGGTTGAGATCGATGCGCCGGAGTGGGGAGTGTTCGACGCGTACACTGCCCTTCTCGAAGTTTTTTGCTTGTGTTGCACCCCATCCTACATGGACCCGCCGGACAAAAACAATAAGTGCAGTGTGACTTTGCTGCTGTGCGTTGGACATTGTTTTGGAGTCTACCTGCATTCAAACGTAGGTTGCGAACACAGAAGGCCTCGTTGTCACTTGGACGACCAAGTGCCATCTCACATGTGATGGGCAGGATCTGCGTTGTCACGTGGTTACTGCGGCGGGTTCCAAGACGAGCTGTAGCGAGCATTACGCTGAGAAGAGAGTCACCCAACATATGTGGTACATAGGGTATGTATACGCTCATATTTAGTACTGTAGGCAAATAAATGAACAGCTATCGGTAGCGTGTACATCAAAGCTTCTTCGCCGATATAGTGGCAAGTGACTCTGTTCACGAGTCAACAGTGGCAATATTGCCACTATGTCGAGAGTGGCTCTGCCCTGAATTGTGTCATACAGTATTCTCCTCATGCCCCTGTGTGCCGCTTGATCGGGCCACCCACTTTATGTCTTTTCTTGTCTACATAAATCACTGGCACTCACCATCGCACGGTTAGCAACTGTCGTACGTTGTAACGTAGGTTTCAATATTATAAAAGAAGCAGGAAACATCTGCAGTAACACCAACAATCGGGGGTGAATTCAAATCCAAAGAAGGGTTTTTGAGGCTTTCGTCGCCACGCTGAATGAAGCGAGCCACAAGACGAAGGGACGAACAGCACAATGGCGTTGGGGTATTTGGATTGTAGACTATAAAGACTTGCGTTTTGTGTCGTCGTGTATGAAACGAACAGGGCGCTGAGTACTCCAACCCCCCAGACGTGCTTGGCACGGGGTAACTGAGCTGGGGCTGCTGCGGCTACACTGCTTGTGGTTGTTTCCCCCCAATGACTCCTGCAAGGAACCAAACGGTCACCTCCCAAGAACACTCTGCTGTTTGATACCGATAATGTGCCACCTAGTGTACAAGAAAGGGCGGGGTAATGAGCCGCGGGGTAGACAACACAATACCTTGCAGTTGTCTATGTGCCTGCGGTGCTTTTGTGTGGGGGTGGGTGTTGTCGATCAATTCCAATCTGAATCCGAGTCATCATCAACAACAATAAAAGGGCTGCTGGAACGAACGGCCTGGCGTGTGCATACAGCAGCACCGGAGGTGACACAAGACACCATGCCCCTCCTGGACCAATTTCAAAGCTCGATTGCTCCACGTCACGAAGAGTGACGGTGCAGATAATGGTCATGTGGGAACCTTCTCGTCGAGAGCTTTCCGATAACGTCTTGCGGAGTTTGTTGACGCACCCTGTTCGGCAAGAGGTACTCGAGCTTTGAAAAATGGTCCAGGGGGCGGTGGTATCTTGTGTCGCCTACGGTAGACGTCATACATACCCCTACCGGGTTTTCGGTGGCAGAGTGACGCAGCAGCAAGTGCGAAGCTTCTCCCCGAGAGCTGTGTGTATGCAAAGTCTTGTGTGGCGGCTGATAGAGGACATGGTACCCACGGGCGTCGGCAAAATGGGTGCACGCGAGAAAAAACACCCGCCGCCAATACAAAGGTCCTTTTTCCCGTGGCACTGGTTTGTTTCAAGGTGACCCCTCCCTACGCACCGAATCAACAGCAATGACTTTTGGCAACCGCTACGAGCTAGTATGGCTGAAATTTTCACCCGCCAGTGCCGTCTCGTCCCTCGTAGCGGTGTTGCGTGTGTGGGAGAAGTCTGATTTACTTTTCTTCCATTACCGTGACAACTCCCCGGGGATGGGCGTTTTCGGTATGATGTGCCGGAAAAGCACGACCATCTGCTGTCGGAGCACGACCAGACCGGTGTGGTGAAGATTGCCCTATTTTTATCCCTCCTCACAAACCCGCAGATCGTCAATCGGTGCTCTATTGATCCCGTTCTGGTCGAAGAGGAAGACATATTCAGGCGGTCGTTAACCCTTTTGGGTCTCTAGTCCTTCTGACAGATGATTGATAGCTCATTTTTTCTTTTTTTTTCATTGAAAGCCTCGAACAGACGGTCTCGTCGTAGAGGGTAGGATGGGAATCAATCCCCGAACCTACACGTAAGGAGTTATATAGCACAGCAAGCCAGCGAGCGCCCGCCTCCCCTCCCCGCCACACACGAACACAAGAAGCATCCACAGAGGTCACCGAGAGCTCATGGGGAGGCCTCTACGCACCGCGTGGTCTGTCCTGCCTGTCTGGGCAGCGTTGTTGGTAGCGCTTGCGGTTGCATTGCCGGCAGCGCCAGTTGGTATTCCTCGTTGTACATCAATCAGTGTCCGTTTCCCTCGTGCAGCAATCCACCCTTGCTTTGCACGCTGGCACTGAGGACAGCGAGCTTGGCATTTTTTTTTTTCTCCACTTCAAATCAGCCCTCACAGCACTGGTGGCGTTTTACTCCAACCCGTGGTCACACAGAAGAGCCCCTCTCTACCCTCCCCTTCTGCGGTACTTTGCCTTCGATTTTTAATGCGAGAAGAGTTCAGCACTTTCTTCCCTCTGTGTACACACGAACTAGCGCTATCCACTAGGCCAGCAGCTGAAGCGAGAGAAGNCAATCCACCCTTGCTTTGCACGCTGGCACTGAGGACAGCGAGCTTGGCATTTTTTTTTTTCTCCACTTCAAATCAGCCCTCACAGCACTGGTGGCGTTTTACTCCAACCCGTGGTCACACAGAAGAGCCCCTCTCTACCCTCCCCTTCTGCGGTACTTTGCCTTCGATTTTTAATGC